TTCTTTCCCTTGGCATTATTATGGCACAAGAGCTAAACCGAGGAGACAGTTGCTCCGATCTCGGCACAGGGAGGGATTTCACATGACTTACAGGAGGGCTAGTGAGGGACACTTGGTCACCTTTTCTGGATGATGGAATCCAGCCTTTGCTCTGACAGCTCTGGGCAAGGACAGCCAATACCCTACCAGCTTGTTGTATTTCTTCTTCTATAGGATATAAAAACTGAAGTCCAGAAAAAGCATAAAATGCTTCAGAAGTGATTATATAAAATCTAGTGATGGTAATTGTTCATGTCCTCTATAAATAGTGCTCTACTTACTAAGAATGCCCTTTAAATATAGGAAGTACTTCGATGCAGTCATTGCACTTCATGTACAAATGCCAGTCAGTTACCTCGTAAAAAATATGGAGACTCTCCATTGCTGTCAGTGATGACGCAGGAACCAAACATGCTAACTGACTTAACTGACTTTCTAACCATGGCAATATTCTTATAAGAATTTATTTATTTATTTTTATTTTTGGTACCAAGCATTGAACCCAGGGACACTTAACCACTGAACTACATTACCGGCCCTTTTTTTTTTTTTTTTTTGTATTTTACTTAGAGACAAGGTCTCACTAAGTTGCTGAGGCTGGCTTTTAACTTGCAATCTTCCTACCTCAGCCTCCTGAGCTACTGGGATTACAGGCATTGTACCACTGTGCCTGGCAAATAATTCTATTTTTAAAGAATTGTAATACAATCATCAATTTTGAAGGAACACATTTCTGATCTATGAATTTCTTTTATGTTTTGACAGTCAACATGTTTCTTAGATCCTTTAGGAAAATGGAAATGCCTTTGCTTTGCTTGCTTGTTTATTTCTCTTTGATTACTTATTTTCGCTGCAGCTTGTTGTCTTTAAGAGTCTAGCTTTCTTCCTGGAATCTCCATCTTGAGCTTCCTTCTTTATGAGGCTGCTCACATAGTGAGACCAGGAGCAATGATGTGCCATTCAGAGTTGTTCTTAAAAATCAAGCCATTGTTTAAGGGCCTGAGCCACTTTGGAAAATTGTGTTAATTTTTCTAAACTCATTTTTCTTCATCTTAATGGTTAAGCTAAGTAGCTATTGGTTAGGGAACTGAGTGAAGTGGTGCACTGTCAGGAGCTGCTGCCAACATACCAAGCAAACTTTCTTTTCCTAATAATACATTAGAATTTCAAGCTGTATTTTACAGCAGAATAAGAAACTTGAAGTAATTGTTCAGACACATTAGGCTTGAAAACATCAGGTGTGTTTTATTCTTTATTTAGTGAAATGATTTCCTTACGAATTTTTCCTTCAAACAATTATTTCAAATGTCTTTCCTTCTATGGGCATAGTGTTTGGTTTTCATAACTTTCAGAACTATTGAGAGGATGATTAGTTTGTACCGCCCATCAGAGAGTGAATAGACTGCCTTCCTACCCGTGGGTGTTCATCTTTGTGATAAGTTTGTATGTTTTCAGTTGAAATTGTGTTTTCTTTTGAGAGGTGAGAAACTATGTTGCATACTATTTTAGAATGTAATGTATTTATTTAACTTTGTTTTTCATTTAAAATTTTTGTTATCTTAGATGAATACCTAAACTTTAGCTTTTATTTTTATTGTATTTTCATTTGTTTACAGTTAGTTGGAAGAAGGCAAAGTATTGTGGCAAAATGCTTAATCCAGGATTGAGGATTTTCATCCTATTCTAAGCCTCACGCTACTTTGTTTATATATCTGGTGCAAGTTGTTGTGTCTTCTTTGCTTCATGTTTCTAGTAAGATCATCGGGTAGGGTGGGGGGCTTCCTTTTAAAGAATCTGCCTGGATATTTGACACACAGAGAGCAGTGATTGGCAACAACTTGGATGCTAACATTTTTTTGGATGCATGCTTCCTTAAACTAGACATCGCAGGAATTCTCCAGATTGTTTCAGGAGCTTAGTACTATGTTGGAAAAATAGAGGATAAATGGACCATGCGAGTAATATTTGCACTCGTAATGGAATAACATAAAGCATCAACCCAGGCATGAGGACAGTGCGGGCTTTCTTGGCATGTGTGTGTCATGTGGCTGCCGCAGTAGCAGTTGATTCAAATGCATCATCACAGTATTGGAACTTCGTGACGGCCTCCAGCCCAAGTATTTTGATTGCCTAGATGCAGAAACCTTGCAGCCGGGCAGCGTGCCCTGGAGCTCCAGGGTTCTCCACTGATGCTCATTTTCATTGAATTCTTCGTATTTCTCTGTTTTGTTCTTCTTCCCAAAGTTATGTTATGACAGTCTCACTAGGATGTCAAAATACATTTCCAGCTTCCTGAAAGACTGCACATGTTTGTTTTTGATATACTTCATTATTCTTTAGATTGGCACCATTCCTTGTTTTGATCATTATTTCAAATAATTTCCTACTATATAATAAAATCATGATTCTAGATAATTATTATTTTTAGCACTTTGAAACAAATATCTGGCTTATAGATTCCCAACAAACAGTTGATTAATGCTAAAATGAAATCAGTTTAGAAAACAGGATTTCTAATTATTTAATTATTTGCAGGTATGTACATTCTCAAACATTTTTTTTCTCTTTTAATTAAAAAAATTTTTTTGTTTGTTTGCTTATTACTGAGCATTGAACCAGGGGTGCTTCACCACTGGGCCACATCTTTAGCCCCTTTTTGAATTTTTCTTTTGAGATAGCATCTCACTAAATTGGTTGGGGCTTTCGTAACTTGCTGAGGCTGATTTTGAACATGTCATTCTCTTGCCCCAGCTTCTTAAATCTCTGGGATTAAGCCACCCCACCCAGCTTAAAAGTTTTTAAGTGGTACATTTTAATTATACATAATATAGGACTTCGTTGTTACATATTATCCCATACACATAACAAAAGTTGACCAAATTATGTTCTGTGGATTCCAGAACTTTTGTGGAATGTTTAATATTTTCAAAACATGGTTGAAGGCTTAGGGCATGAAAATATAAAGCACTGCCCCATCTTTTCATGAGCACATAGTTTAGCAGAAAGAATATATCAGCTGTAATTTCAGTTTAATGTACATTCAAAATTACACTGTAGCATAGAGGGTGTTGAGAAAGGCTGTGCTAGGGTTAGGGAGTAGGCATCGCAAAAAATTCCAAACCAGACATGCAGCAACTGAACTAGACCATGGCGACTCCGGAAGAGGCTGGCAGAAGGTCGTGGTGTACGGTGTAAGCTAACATCGTGTACAAATAGGATGACATTGTAACAAATAAATGTAATTTGAGGACATAAGAAGGAAGGCAAATTTGACACTTTATGGTTTTTAAATATTTTTATTTTATACCAGTTCAAGATTTTGACTAAAGAGTTGTGATTATTAGATTCATTACTTAGAAATATAGTGGGGTAGGCTTGGGTTTGGGGACAGACTGGAGGGTCTGTACCTGCAAATGTCCAGGCCCTGTGGCAGGCTGTATTCAGGTGTCATCTGTTATGGATAGAAAACAGTGGTTTTGAACATGAACTTAGCAGGGACTGGTACCTAACTTGACAAGAACACTGAGTACAAAAGAGCATCTCTATTAATTGAGATACAGGAATTTAAAATTGAGGGTGGACACATCAGATTTGAGAGAAAGTTCTCATGAGATTCAATGTTTACATAATAAAGAAAAATGAACGCAGGAGGATGAAAGATATGCATTTTTAATGTAATGCATATTTTGTTTTCTATTCATGCTACATCAAGAGAAGCAGATCCAAGACAAAGTAGCCTATAGATAAGCATGTTAAAATACAGAGCCAAGCCCTTGGGGGATCCTGTATGAAGGCTGCCGTTCATTCCAGAACCATCTGAGTACCCCTCCTATTGTGCCTAGGCTTTTTAGTCTGGCTTTGTCTTTCTTCATACAATCCCCACAGTTTGACGTGGTTTCCTGGTGTCATGACCCGATGGACACATGGGTCAGCACTGGCCTTCCTCCTGCTGGTCACCTTTGCAGGCACAAGGCCTTGGATTGTGTCTGGGGCCAAGTAAGAGGCCAACCTGCTGAGACTGCAGAATGGATGGTGAATGAACAAACAGCTCTTTAAAGACTTATCTCTGGTTGAAACAGTTGCTTGTGATTCTGAATAAATGTTGGTATGGAATCAAATATTGTCTGTAGATCAAGAATCAGTGTGTCTGAATCAATGTGGCATGTGGAAGGACATGGACTGGGTGTGAGACAGAGCTCACTACTACCTTCTAGTTTACACCTTCAGAGTCTGAGTTTCCACATCTGAATAACATAGCATAGGAGCTACTGATGGAATTGTTGGGAGTTTTAAAATGTAGCATACAACATAGGTCAAAAGTGCTTTAGATCACACGTGCTTTTTTCTCATTGTTAAATTAATGTTTATTTATGTGGATTTAGCTAAATGCTTTGACTCCAAGTATGGTGAAAATGGTGTAGACTAGCTTTGCCATTTTTAATTTACAATATACTCCACATCAAAAATGAAGCAGGGTAGTCATGTTAAATAATGTCAACCCCCTGAAATCAGAGACTTTTGATACCATTTTTGTTTTCCTTTAATAGTTAACAAATTGTTTCTTTCCATATATTTTTTGGAAGTAAAAGGAAGCTATGGAATTTTAACAAAAATGTGTCAGGAATATTTAAAACATTTTTCTAACCAAAGCAAAGAAGTGTATAAGTTTGCAAAACTAATAAGTGATTCCAAGTAAGTTATGAAAATAGATAAGGATCATTTGGGTAAAAATACTCAGTTAAGGAAAATGATACGTTTAAGTAAAAAAAGATAATAATATTGAAAAAAATTATTCAACACAATTTGTTCTTGCTTGTACATCTTCTTGCTCTCCACTGGGGGAAAATAATAAGACTGATTGCAATCAAGACTGTCTTGTGAGCCTGAAAGAGAAAGGAAGTTCTGGTACTTTCTGATCTACATTTTTGAAATGAAGAAATGTTTTTATCTTTGTTTTACAGATTTACTTACGGTTCTTAGATTATGAGATGCAGAATTCAAATGAATGCAAAAGAAACTTTGTGGCTGTGTACGATGGAAGCAGTTCTGTGGAGGATTTGAAAGCTAAGTTCTGCAGCACTGTGGCTAATGACGTGATGCTCCGCACTGGTCTGGGGGTGATCCGCATGTGGGCAGACGAGGGTAGTCGAAACAGCCGATTCCAGATGCTCTTCACATCCTTTCAAGAACGTAAGATTCTCTGCACTTGACTGTATGTCCTTCAAATATGTCATATGATGCTAGTCTCATAACCCGGTAATAGTGTTTTCTTCATGCAGTCTGAGCACAGCAGGGTGTTCTCTAAGAAGTGGCTAAATCACTGATATTTCTTTGGTTTTGATCTAGTGGCCAAAGAGTGACACATTACATTCTGATGACTTATTTTGGCATATGCATCATGGCCTTGCTTGTGAGAGTTACCTATACAATGGGGAAATGATGGGTCTTGTTTGTCTTTGGTTTAGCTCTTTCGAAGCATGCGGAACTGCAGCAGCAGCTTCTGATGAAGTCTGAGTTTAAATCTTAAAAACCTGCATAAAAATATTTGGTAGGTTCACTTTAGTAAGCTTCTCTTGCAGTCCCATTTATTTAAAATAGGTTTGTGATTACAGAGTCACAATTAAAGCATGGAAAGAGAGGGAATTGCTTCAAAAATCAGCAAATAGAAAAAGCTTCATAAAAATGTCAACAATGACACCATAGGTGATACTCAAAGTTAGCCTCTGCAGCAATGTTAGAAACTTATATCCTAAGAAATAGTGAATTGTATCAATAGACATGTTTGCAACATCTGAGAAACCCTGAGAATTTCATATTTTACAAGGTTCTGCAAATCAAAAAGAATCCTGATAAATTCAGCTTTCAAGAATCGTTACCTTTTATTTCAAAACCATACACTTGTTTAAATAAAAAAGACAATACAATGCTGATGAGATTTCACAGTTTTTTTATTATGGTCAGTGCACAATGGCCCCTGGACAGCACATTTTCTTTTCTTTCTTTTGCAACCCAGAGCTTCACATTCCCTAGGCAAGTGCTCTATCATGAGCTACATCCTCAGCCTCAAAAAAAAAAAATATATATATATATATATACACACACACACACACACACACACATACACACACACACACACATGCATTTTAATTCACAAGAATTAAATGTATTAGACAAGTCTTTTATATAACGAATAAATAATTTTGGTTTTAAATTTCCTACTAGTTGCTCAGTGGAGACCTTCATGAGGTTAGAACCACTAAATGTCACTCAATCTTCTTAAATCTTGGTACCATCCTCCAGTTGATCAATGTCCTTCCAAATGTGATGTCAGATTCCAACAGCATGTTGTGAACCATGGAGCTGAGTAATATATTAGAGTTAGTGCATCTTTATTTCAGTAGGTATTTGAAACCGTATTAACATTTTCTGGACTACAATATGAAGGAGTTAATCCTACAGTATAACAGTTTAATATCTTCCTACAGATTGCTCTGCAAATTTAATTAATGGTACCTTTGGTGAAGGTTTAGGATTATGTCTACTTTAAATTATTTTAGTTTGCATTTGTGATAAGATACACAATCACATAAAATATACCTTCTTAACCATTTTTTGAAGTTTAATAAATATTTTCTTTATTTCTTTAAAGTGGCAGATACAGTTGTATATATTTATCATTTGCACCATGATGGTTTGAAGCATATATACATTGTGAAAAGGTTCAATCTAGCTAATAGTAATGTATCTTGTTCTTGAATACTGCTGGTAGCAAGTATTGTTTTTACCACAAAAACTATGTGATATATATATATA